CCCCGGACTCCAGACACCCTCTGAGAAGGTATCCGGGAGCCCTTGGGCAGGTGATCAAAGCATAATGACGAAAGTATACAAGCCCAAAACAAGCTAACATTGTCTTTGGTTCCTGGTCCTATTGGTCTCCATTTTGAGGTCATATGTTTCAGCCCCTGCCCCATCTTCACCTGCAAACTTCGATGCAAAAACTGCAGGACACGATGCAAACTAGGGAATCTGTTCAGGGGGTCAATCGTTTTCTCACCAAGCCAGTGGTCCTCAATATGCACTGGTTACGGACCAATGAAATACCATGATGCATAATATATTGCATGATGAATAATACAATATAAAAAACATAATAAAACCTTTGCTACCAGACCTGGTTTTACATCGCCATTCTTGGTGGGGGATGAACCTCAAAATCCAGAACCCATCCAGCACCCTCCTCAGCACCACGTCCACCCATCCCGAGCCACCCACCAGGTGCGTCGAGCGGCACCGGTGACAGCGCCCAGTGGAGCGAAGTCCTCCGAGGTCAGCGCCGTGACCTGCCTCTCTCGGGCCGTTCGCCGAACGGGCGTCGTTCACGGAGGTCGCTGGGGGGTAGGGTGCCTGAGACCAGAGCTGAAATGAACACTTTCTGGGAAGGACATGCAATGAAAATGGCCGAAAGCTCAGAGAACAGAGACAAGACATGGTCGACCAAGCTCGCCCAAGACCTTCGTGAATGCTCCAGGTCCCTCTGTTGGACTCAAAGACCTTGCCAAAACAGAGAAGACCTGTGTTTTGGGCTAAGGAGTGTGATCCCTTCCAAAGGGAAACTCTATTTAGGGGTGTCCGACATGCGTATGTTTTTTTGGGAAGTGTCTTTTGCTAGGTTCCCATCTCTACCAAGAAGAGCTTCCCACTGAAAACATAAAACAAACCACACAATTCAAGATAATTCATTTCACATCAACTTATCAAATGGTCTCCTAACTCCTAAGGGTTTCCCTGTACCTTCCTTACATCGCCACCTGCCACGATGCTGTGCATCTTCGGAACACCGGCGTTCCGTTTCGTCACTCTCGGCCACCTGAAGAGGCTGAGCCGTTGCGCCGTGAGCTCCGGCGGCTCCTGCGCCGGGAAGCGCAGGCGGTCCTTGAGCGCTTGCTCGGGCAAAGGGCCGTGCTCACCCAAGGGGTCCGGCACCACCTCAGATGAGAGACCGGCTGGAAGTGGCTGGAAGAAGGACCGGGGGGCATTTGTCTTTTATGTTTTTGTGTATATATATGTGTGTATGTGTGTGTTATTGTTTTTTTTTTTTTAAAGAAATCTCAGTGTCTCAGTGTGTTTGCTTCCATCTGATGTTGCTTGCTGGGGTGGATTTGTTGTTGGTGACTTTAAGAACTCCGTCGCTGAAACAACCACAAAGCTAGCTATGTAAGGTATGTGTATAAATTATGTATAATACTGTTGCAAAAGGGATGCTAGCACATTGCTGCTTCAATGCAAAGCCATTCTTTCAGCTCAGCAACTATGAGCTTCAACGGCCCCGCTTTCAGTTCAGGTGCGCTTTCCCGCGGCACAGGTAGCCAATGGCCCTGGCATCGTTCATGAAGCGAATAACATGTGATGTGGCCCCCCCCCCAAAAAAGCTCCCATGTGGTTGATATATAAAGATATTAACTGAATACATCAATAGCTGTGCAATTTACCGGTGCATAAAGGGGCATGTGACAGCATCTGGATCTTCAACAGTATCCAAATGTATCCCGCAATTATGAACCATCACTCACCAGCTCTGGTTTTGTGCACTAAAATCTCATCCCAACTGCACGGGTAGTGACCAGAGTGATGCACATTGGCCGACCTCTCCAAGTGTTTTTGTTCATGCGTGTTTTCCTGCCAAAGATGTGTCACAGGCCCCGAAAGTGGCGGAATTATATAGGTCCGGGTGAAAATCTATGAGGACGTGCGGGTGGTCAGCAACATTTGCAAACTGAAAAAAAGAGACCCTTCATCTACGTACCCTGTTCTAAAACAAAAGCTGCCATTCTGCTCCCTTCCTTGAGCCACATGCGCGCGCTTTAAAACAAACGCCACCTTGTAGATCGCCGCTGGTTTGTCGTCATCTGCATCTGGCGCAGGCGAAAGCGCACATGTCCCAAAAAACGAAGTAAACATGTCAATTGTCAAGCACCAAGCCTAAAGGATATCACACAGATCGAGTTTGGTGCAATTTTCCAGGCCTGCTGGGGGGAGAGATGCGCGTATCTAGTCATTGTACGTCATTGTACGTGTTTGAACGTCGTGGCTGCTGCCCCAAACATCACGACGTTGGGCAACAAATCTGCGGTTCGTAGAGCAACTGTTCTCTTGAGTAAAAAATCGCATCCCCCAAACACTCCATGGGACTGCCATATATGCCGCCCCATAAAACCAACCCCAATGTATACATATATGGCAGTCCCATGGAGTGTCTGGGTCCTATAGCACATTTTGGTGTCCTTAGGCCTTTCCACACAACAGCTCCCCGTATATGGGTCGAAAGAATCACCCCACCAATTAAGGGCCAAAAGCATGACTTTGGCTGTCTGGAAGCTATCACCCTACTAGTACGATCTAGTACGGTAGGCATCCTGCTGATCGTCCTGCACCACCCCGGCCGCCTGCGGACAGAACCCCGGACTGCATCGAACCAATGAAAGAATCCAGCGTCTCCAACTCCTCCAGCACCGGAGGAAGTTGCAAAAATCACCTCTTCTGCTCTTCTTGAAATCACGGTTGTTCTGGAGTGGGGTCAGTATGAGGTTGTTCCCGCATCGGCCCACTAGTTTGTATAGATTCTCACCTGGATACTACTTCCAAGTTCCTCTGGATGAATGAGTAAAGTCCCAAAAGTAGTTCTTAACTTCCGGTGATCCAAATGAAAGGAACAGGCGCTTTTTTTGCATATGAGTCCAGCATCCTACTGGGGGACCTATCAAATTGTATAGAGGGTTCTTCAACCTCTGTTGGAGGCTCCATTGGTCATGCCAGGTTAGCCACGCCACTTGGTCCATGTACTGGAAAGCTCTCCGGCCACCTGTGTCCACTGTGGTTGCGGCATTCGGGACGAATCTTGCAGGGTGAAACATGGCGAATCCAGTGTATACGCTCCAGTCTGTATATGACATTATTGTTTGGCAATCCCACTATATACTATATGTGCATAATATAATTGTACAATATTGTACATGTTATCATATTGTTCACTCCCTGCAGTGTGACTCAAACAAGATGTGTCCATATGTGATACCTCTCTCATCTCCTCCATGGTTGGATGGCATGGCCGATTTCAAGGAGTGTGCTTTCCCAGGACTTGTGCTTCATACCCCAAGTCCATGTGACCACCTTGACATTTGTTGTGTCAACAAAAAGTGCCTGCCATGCCAACTGACCAGTTGGTTGGTTTATGTTGGCTTCACTTCACTAGTGCCATCCGGCCACTTCATGGCCCCCGACGGACCCACTCTCCTTGGTATTCTTCTGCAGATTCGGTGGCCGATGGCCCTGCCCATGTAAGCCTCGACATGTTCAAACACCCCGAGGCATGCACCCCCACCACCCACCAACAAGTCACCAATCGATGCAAGCAAACGCAGTATCTTAGCAGCGTTTTCTGAACACCATGAGCAGGGTCAACCAAGGACACTGTCAGCCCGTTGCACAATGACAATATCGAAAGAGGAAACCACCAGCAAACAACAACTGAACCCTTGGGAGCGGCCCGTCCTCCACACTCCATTTCCTATACCGTTCTTCTTTTCCCACTTTCCCCGACCACTTCTCCCCTGACCTCGCCCAAAGCCCACGTCTCGCTTCGTATCTGGACTCTCCAAGGCACAAATGCGCCGAAACTTTGGATGGATGTACAAAGCCTCGTCTCTCGGGTCTCGGGTCTCGTGTTTGTCTCCGGGGTCGTCTCTCGGGTCTCCGGGGTCTCCCACTCCAGTCGTACCTCCGGTCCCCGACATTTCGGTATGGCATGGTCCACCCGAAGCAGTCCCACCCGTTCGTCCACCGTCCACGCTTCGGCACGGGAGCTGACTTAAGCTCGTCTCAAGGGTCCGGGGCGTCAGGGACTCAGATGGCCTGACCGGCGAAAAGGAAGACGGAGATTGTGCGGTCATGGATATGATGCGGTCAAAGAAACAATAAGACCTCAAATAAACAATGGTTTAGTGGTTTGACATAAACAAAGGTTTAAACAATCGATTTAGCAATCTACGACAACAATTTCAACATGTTTGTGCTCGGTTTTCAAAGTGCTCCCACCACAGTGTGTTTAAAGTAAACACTCAAAAAAAATAAAAGCATTTAAAAACTATAATGTGGTCGAATGTGGTCCTCTGATTAATAAACGCCCCTAGAATATCTAGAATGATGTCAGCAAATTTCCCTAATGTCTTTTTTGGGGGAGGAATAATTTTGGGAAAATATGTTTGTATTGTTGTTTATTGAGTTTAGTCCTCTCCGGTTGTATGATTTTGAAGATCTCTGGATGCAAATGTCCATCAACGATTAGAGATGTCCATTGATATTTTGTGATTTTGAAGGTTTCTGGATGGAGATCTTTATTAGATTGTGAGATGTCCATTCAGATTTCAAAGGTCTTTGGATGCAAATGTCCATTCTTGAATCTTTAAGTGTTCCAAAAAATCCACAAAGTTTGTGAGATGATTTCCATTGAGAGTTGATGATTTTGAAGGTCTTTGAATGCAAATGTCTATTTACGTTTTTGAGATGTCCATTGAGATTTGATGAGTTTAAGTAATGATTCCTTTCATTTTTAGTATTGCCAAAGATAGCTACGTAATGATTCCTTTCATTTTTAGTATTGGCAGAGATAGCCAAGCAATGATTCCGTTCATTTTTAGTATTGCCAGAGATAGCCAAGTAATGATTCCTTTCATGCTTAGATATGTTTAGTATTGCCAAAGATAGCTAAGTAATGATTCTGTTCATGTTCATCAATTGATTGTTTTTCTATAATATTATTCTAGGGTCTCCAATTGTTGAGGGGGGGGTGATTAATCAAGGGACCACATTAGCTAAATAATATTCAACATTTATTCAATCACCATTTGTATGCATTTGAGTCTATCATACAAAACTGTTCTATCATACAAAACCGTACCATTATAAATTGATGGTGCTTCACTGGTGCCGTTGTCCACACCCGACCGAACTCACGGTCGGTGCATGTCCCTGTGGAGTCAGGATCCTTTTCGTGCTCTGCCCGCGGACTCTCAAATGTCCCGTCTCATCTCTCTGAATGTGTTGAGACCGGTGCCACCGAGCCCGGCAGGCCCCACCAAGCACCAAGTGGCTAAGTCCTCGTAGTTGGAGAACCTGGAGGCTTCGGGTCGAGGAGCGGCGGATCCAGGTGAAACAAGGGCTCAGAAGGGGCGACAATCCCACGAGTCAACCGTTTGTTTGTTTGTTTGTTCGGGTGGTGAAAAGCTCTTGATCCAAGCATTCACCTTTGCAAACATGGCCGCAATCAGTGTGGCATTCTCTGACACCGCGGCTCTCGAGGCCAACACTTCCACTCCCTCTCTCCCTCCCTAAAGCATACAGTTTGATGTGGCTTTAAGCAAAAGATAGCAAAAGACTTTAATAACTGTGGCCAAAAAACAAGCAACTCCCTTTCCGCCCACCCCCCAGCCAACCGCGAGCCACAAAAACATCAACAAAGAAACGGAAAAAAGATCCAAGAGGCTGTTTGGAGTCATCCTCTTCAGACCAGCACAGGAAGCAAGGGATTCGCAAGGGTGCCTTCGGTCTCAAGGCGCCTGGTAGCGCGACATGTCGACCGATCCGTCGACTGACACGTCGTCGTTACCCCGTTTGCTTCATAGATCTTGAAAACGGTTGTATCGCCTTTTCAGGCGATGTCCTGATGTCATCGGATGTCATGATGTATTCACCTTCTTGGTCAGGTTTGGAGACTTCTCAAAAAGCTCCAGAAAGGATATGAAAGGATTACAGTATATATATATA